GCAGTTTAAATAAATTTATTGTATGTTAACTTTATTGACAAAATAGGCATGTTTTCGACTGGTAGATAAAGCATTATAAAAGTATCACTATTTTTCTAACAAATTGATCAAGTTAGTTTAAATTTTCATCTGATTCAAGAATATAAAAACAGAAATACCGGAAAACTGTTTATTAGGAAGTTGCATCCAACGAGAAAAAAGTGCTGGAAGTCTTCTTTTAATCTTGAGAGCAGTCAAAGACGCAAATTTGCAGTAATACTTTTATAATTTAAGCTTCACATCGTCGCATTAGTCCGATGGGGTAATTTACAAACATAAAGGGTTGTTTATTGTCTAATCGCTTAAAAATCATCACACCGCATCAAAGTCATGCAAAGTTGCTACGAAAAAAAAACTTCTAAGAAGGAAATGCAACCATTAAAAAGTTTGAATCACTACAGCTCAACTGATTAGGGTTAAAGATTCCAAACTGCTGTTGGAAGCGATTTGTTTGGGAACTGATACTTTTTAATGCATTTTTCTTTTCGTAGTAGTTTATTTTCAGTGTTTCTGCAAGATTTGATTTTTGTTGGTTTGTTTTTTGATAACCCACCGTCTCGGTAGCGTAGGTAATCAACATTATATTTTTACGCGCATACTTCACAAAAATTAAAACTCACACAACTCACAAAAAATGAAGTTCAAATACTTTACTGAAGCGCTTAATGTAAACGAGGTATTTTTGATTTTCCGTTAAAAATTTTTTTTTATAATTTTATGTCTCTAAATTCCCAGCTTCTTCCGGAATTAATTGACGTTTAATCTAGTTGGGATGAATAGAAAAAAGAACAAAAATAAATTACAGGGGTGTTAATCCCAATCAATTGCCTTTTTTCAAGTAAAGTGGAAAATTAACTATTTACAGTAAGCAATATAACTTAAGTGTAAATGTTTTTCCAAAAAAGCACAACTTTTTTGATCAGATTGGCTTCAACCGATTTTTCAAAGTTTTTAAAATTAGGAAACCTGAATTTAAAATTCATCAAAAGAAGTATTTTTGCTGTAGATTATAGTC